GAGGATCCTTGGAAAAATCTTCTGACGGAACTCCCGCAATCGGCGTACTGTCAAAAAGCTACCAGTCCCTTGGCAATTCCAGCTTAGGATCATCTAGGCGTCCGCCAGTGGTTTTCCTTTAACCACCGGATCTTTAAATTTCCTCGAAGTTTGCCCTCCATCAGGACCCGTCTTCGAAGAGGACGGGAAAGAAGCACCGTTTAAAGCGGATTCGCCTTTAACCGGATCCTCCTTTGCTAAAGACGCGTGCTTGTGGATGCGACAGCCTCGAAACGGACTGTGCTCAATCTTCTTTTTAACAGCCAGGGCTTTGCTAATTCTTTGCTCAATTTTGCTGGACCTCTTATCCAAGAATCTGGGCCCACCTCATGGCCCATATTTCTTTGTCTGGTGGGCCTCAACCACAAACTTTTTAAGAGGGAAAATAATTTCTTTAGCATCTAAAGTGGTTTTTAGGCCCAAAGAAGAGCCCATCTGAGCCTTTATGCATCTCGAGCCCAATCTCAGAGGCCGATCCTCCCGCTTCATCTCTGTCCTCCCATGGGCTTCAATCCTCAGAACTGGATCTATGAAGATGGGATTCACTTCATGGGCTTGTGCCGAAGGGAGCCCAATAGATTTAGGCCCAGTGCTAGAAATGTTCTCCACTAACATCGGGATCTCCTTGTCCCCCAAAAGCACGAACCAAAAATTCGTCGGCCCCGTCGAGACCTCTGTTCGCCAAAGCTGTCCCTCCTCCGCCTTCTGAGCCACCACCACCGAACGAAGCTTTGGCATCTTTGTCCCTTGCCTATTCCGACCAGAGTCCTCCCCCGCCCTATGGTTGTCCTTGCCAGAGCGCCTGGCCCCTAACCCTTGGCCTCCACCCGAACCGATAGCCTAATTTTTCGGCAACCTCTCGTGGCCGAGCTCGGCTTATTTTTCCACCTTTTCGGATGGTCGGATTGTGCCCTCTGCTCTCTCCCAAGTCTCGTTTGATCATAGACCAACTTTGCCACCGCCGCTTCCTCCTCCGTGCTGCGATACCAAGTGGTACTGCGGATGCCAGAACCACCGGCCTGCTCCTTCTGATCGATTATACTTCCGGTAGACTCCTTAGTGAAGGATTTGCGCACCCATTCTTTTGTAGCCAATTTCGCTATCCGTCGATCCTCCGTCAGATCCCGACGTACTGGTTTCCTCTTTGACGACGACGCTTGATTCCTGACTGTCTCCAATGGAGCCGTAGTATGCTCCCGATTTCGCAGAGGTTGTGCAATTTCCCTCTGTGGAGCTTTCCTTCCTCTCTCATTGCCGGATAGGTTCACGTTGGTTGTCTCGGTGACTCTGATGCGTCCCTACCCGAGTTGGGCAAGTCCTAGTGTCATGACTCTTCCGGAAACACACCTTACAATGGTTCTGCAGCTTGACATAGTCGAAGCGAATTCGAAAAATCTCTCCGATCTCCGATACTATCTCCCGAAACAGGATTAGCGGTGCATCGCATTCCACCATCACTTGGATCATTGGATACGGCTCCATCACCTTCCAATTGAGAAGCTCCCCTAGATATTCTCCCATCCTCACCAATTGCTTCTCTTCATTGTAAATCTCTGGCAGATCCAGGATTCGGATCCAGAACAGGATGGAGGATGGGAAATCCATTCGCATTGTTGGCACCCATTTTTCGATAGCATTCATCCACCCATCGAAGTGATAAGGGCGATTATCCAGTACTGCTTGGAGATCTGCTTCCTCCTTGAAAAAGTGAAATCTTCCTCTCCCCATTTCAACTCCCTGAACCCGGCCCTCGCATTTCCAGATCGTTGGTAAGAATCCGATCAATGCTTTGACCCTGTTCTCTTGTACCTCGAGATTCAGGACTCTTCCCACCAGGGTGTTCTCAAATCGCTGTAAAATCTGTGTATTGTTGACCGGAAGGAGCTGCAATGGCTTTGATCGCTTCTTCTCTTGATTGGGAACAACGAGTTTCCCAAAAAACGCCATGTTTGTTTGCACCGGATTGAACAAAAACCTTTGTGCGTCTTTGCAGGGGAGCAGAAACACGAGTTGTAGAATAACCAAACCAATGCTTTGGATCTGGTTAAATAACACAGATTGCAACCACAACATCCCTCCGAATCCGCTCATCAACATGATTGGGGATCGATTAAATCCAAATATCCGATTGATTCCCCTAATTAGGCCACTAACTGATCCGAGATAGGCATCAATTAAATTGGATCTCATCTTCCTGTGATTTCTTCTTGGACAGGGAAATGTCCTTTCCATAATTGGACCTCGAGAGATCTCACCATTACAACAAAAATCCTTGGTGAAATCGATCGTGAAAGACAGTGCATAAGATTTCTCGACAGTGTTGGATGAATCCAGATCGGATTGACCCCGCACCGAATGCTTGACTACAAACTCATCGTAACTGTCGACGGAAATGATGAACGCAGCACCTGGATTGTGCCGAGAAGTCGCCCCCATGCTTCTGGCTAGTCGCCATTGCCGGAGAAGGGAGAAACGCTTGAACATACCGGAAACGATTTCAAAATTCCAACTGTTACATCGTCTCGGAAGTCATAAGCTGTATTCCCATATGTTTCTTAACGTAACATTTGTTTATTGGTCCATACATATATATATACGTTTTTGAATATAGTTCATACATGTAATTTGTCATACATATTTCTTCATATATGTACTTCGGCCAGTCAAATCCATAAAATTCAAAATGTGTTTAGTTTATAAAGACAAATCCGGTTGTACACTTTTTTCCATGTACTTTTTTCATTCGAACCCGACTATCTACACGCTGCCTCAGAGGCAAAATGGTATAAATTTTGTAGGAAAGTGTCGAAAATACATACGCCCTCCCACAAAGTGTTATTTTAGCTAATTATTTCTTAACT